CGTTTAGATTGTATTTTTAAACACAGCAATAATTCCTAACACCAAATAAACACAAAAAAACAGAATGTTAATTTGTTTAATTTTCCAATATTATTTTTAACAAATTAAATTAATTATTTACAACTAAAAAGCTATTGGATAGTTAGGACAAACATACAAAATCTAAAGTAGTTGCTCGAAATGTAAACCCAATTGTTCAATACACAATTCACATCTACGAATGATCGAACGTGGTATAGCATTATTTAAATAAGGCCTTATTTCATCACATGCATTCCTGATTCTGTCTATTAGCATATCTCTTGTGGTTACGGGAGTCTGGTGAACTTTTTCTTTTAGAAATCCCCACACAAAGAAATCTAATGGATTTAGGTCAGGGGATCGTGGAGGCCAGGCGACTGGTCCTCCACGGCCGATCCATCTTTATGGAAAATGAGCTGGACAACCATCAAGCTGGAACCAGGCCAATCTTCTTAAATCTGACATCATCCCACATATTTGCATGTTCAGCCTTTAAAAATTCCAAGAAGGTCGCAGCATTTAACCTTGCAGGCAAAAGGTAGGGTGCAAATAGTCGATTACGGTATATACCAATCCACACGTTCACACTAAATTCATGCTGAAAATTTCTTTCCCGAACTGCATGCGGATTTTCATGCGACCAAATATGTTAATTATGAAAATTTACCACTCCACGTCTAGTGAAGCATGACTCATCGGTCCATAAAATGTTACTCAAAAGCTTCCTATTATTATCAGTTCTATCAAGAATCCACTGACAAAATGTGATTCTTCGTTCTCCGTCCCCTGGCTGTAGTTCTTGCACAGGTTGCAAATGGTAAGGACGTCTATGGTCATTTCTAAGAACACGGTGAACATGGCTTGCTGAAAGGCACCAGAAACTCTCCTAACACTTGTGGTCGGATCTCTATCAAACTCACGCAGAATCATACGGGTAAATCTGCGCTGACGAACATTTATGTTTTGATCTCTTTGGAGATTTCCAAAACCATATTTGGCGATGCACTCTTACAAATACTGAGCGAATTTGATGTCGTCTGTTTGGAAATCTTCGTGCGTCTTCTCTGGCTGCTTCTGCTGCGTTTCCATGTACAAAGCCATGCACAAAATGAATATCCGCTAACTCTTGATTGGAGAATAAAAATGGCATTTTTATAAAACTTACAAAAAAAAACAAGTAAAAGAAACTAAATTTCGTGCATTCGCAATTGCAAAAAAACGTTTCAGGTTTCAACAGACAACAAAACTAACTGTCAACTAATTGACGTTTAACCTTATTCTGCTTTCAATTTCAAAAATATTTGCAGGCACAGCCTACTTCAAAAAATTATCGAGATACTGACTTTTTAACGTTATTTTATCATAAATAATTAAAAATGCATCGAACCTTAAAAATCTAAATATCTCGAAAAGGCTATTTATAACGAAAATTCACAAGAGAGCTTTTTTATGTTTAAAAGTGCGAAGAATCAGTTTTTTTATTCAAAAAGCAGAAAATTGTACTAAGAAAAAATTTTCGGTCATTTTAATACACTACAGGTATAGTAGAGAGCGCCCTCTAGCGGCCACAGTAAAACTATGCCCATGGTTCGTTTTGTCGTACCAAAAAACCCTTGTATACCAATTTTCACTGTCATACATTAAGTATTGTTTGAAATATTTAAAAAAAACTATTTTAGAAAGTAAATTTAGTATTTCGGAAGCCACGCATTTTTCGACCCATGTTTATATAGACTTTACGCATTAATTTTAAAAGTTCTATCGAATCTTAAAATTATGCAACAATAAACTGAAACACCCTGTATAATGTGCGTTTTCTGGATTTATTGAAAAAGTAAAGGTGGGTAATATAATAATAAATTTATAGTCCGGAAAGCCTCAACAAAAAAAAAAGGTTTGGAAACCCTGCTCTATGTTATCTAGCCCTGGATCGATATTCTTGTTCTCGTCGGAACTTACCGATTACCGACAACTGTCGGCTACCATAGGCAATAGCCCCCAAAACCATTACTCCAACAGTCCAGTGTACATACCTCTCAGCAGCAAATCCAATATCACGCTGTTCTCCACGGCAGCGTCTTACCCTTCTACGAAAGGTTGGCTTTCGTGTTCTTCTATTTCGCGATAGGACAATAATTCTACCCCTTTCAGAGTCGCCAACATGGTGGACGTCTTCGAACTCGCGGCATTTTATTAAAATATTTTTACTACTCATCTCTCAGAAACTGCATTCTTCACAAAAACTAACGCCGGGAATACACTTAAGCCGAGGCTAGCTGCGTACCAAACGTGTGATTTGCCACGAAACCAAATGCGATACACCGAAACAACGTGTTGTTGCGAGCCGCGGCATGCTCACAGCTGATCCATACAGGAGCACATGCTCAGTGATTACTTGTCTAGTGGAGCGGTTCATTTTGATTTTCTTTTCTTTTTGTTTTATTGCTTCGTTTACTTGTAGAAGATTAGAAGATATCGACGAAAACTACGTAAGCTTGATTAATTTCATTGAATTTGCACGCGAGGACTGAGGGAATTGGAATAAAAATCAAATTAATACAAAAGCTGGTGCCACAATTTGTAAATAACCAAAAATCGACTCTATATTCGCCCTGAGGCAAATGCTGATCGAAAATTCCGTACACACTGAGCACGAACGAGCCACGGCTCGGCCGCTGCTCACTTTGATGGACCGACGGCCGACGGCTCAGGTCGCGCACCGCACCAGGCAAACCGAGCCTGTTCGTAGCTATGTTGGCGCGCCGTACACACTAGCGCATCGCGGCGCGCCGAGGCTGCCTCGTTCGGTGCGCGGCTTGCCTCGGCTCAAGTGTATTCCCGGCATAAGATATAACATTTTAACAAAGGTAAACAAAAACAAAGATAACACGTTGACATTGTTGCCATAGCTTGCTTTAAATACAGTCATTATGTTGCTAAGAACAAGTTGAAGAAATTATTTTTTTTTGTGTAACACTCCTAATATCACTGATTATATTTCGGTAGGAACAATTTTAATGTCTTTGAAATTCTATAATATTCGTGCTGTATATGACTATTACAAAGTAAGCCAACAACATTAATCTATAGTTATAATTAGAGCCGGTTTTTCATAAACGTGTTTGCAGCGGGATCAAATTTCGAAAGCAGCCAGAAGAAGTTTAATTAGCGAGTCGCTAGCATAAAACAATACTTATACTAGCTTCACGGGCATAAGTAAATATAATACTGGGTGATTTTTTGCTAGTATCTTTTTGGCAACACTGTTTTTGACAGATGACGCGTGAATCGTGTAATGTGTCATTTGTCAAACTTGTTCAGTTTGGTCTATAATTTAACCATGAATCGACTTACGAACGAACAACGCTTGGAAATTATTGAATTTTACTATCAAAATTCATGCTCGGTTAAGAGAGTGGGCAATTTGGTCGGCCTACTGAGGGAGCTATTCGGAAGCTTGTGACTAAATTTCGAACCCAGTTTACATTATTGGACATTAAACCACCAAAATCCAGACGTAGAGTGAGGACTGAAGAAAATATTGCGGCTGTATCCGCCAGTGTTAGTGATGATCGTGAAATGTCGATTCGCCGCCGTTCGCAGCAATTGGGCCTCTGTTACTCCACTACGTATTTGGGTGTAAAACCTTATAAGATACAGCTGGTGCAAGAATTCAAGCCACACGACCTCCCACAACGTTATCCATTTGGTGAATGGGTGCTGGCAAAGTTGGAGGAAGATCCACATTTTTATCGAAAAATTGTGTTTAGCGACGAAGCTCATTTCTGGTTGAATGGGTACGTTAACAAGCAAAATTGCCGCATCTGGAGTGAAGACCAGCCAGAAGCATTGCAAGAGCTACCAATGCATCCCGAAAAAATCACTGTTTGGTGTGGATTATGGGCCGGTGGCATCATCGGGCCATACTTCTTCAAAGACGACAATGGCCGGAACGTAACTGTGAATGGCGAGCGCTACCATGCGATGATAACAAACTTTTTTTTGCCCAAAATGGAAGAGCTGGAGTTGGCTGAAATGTGGTTTCAACAAGACGGTGCCACATGCCACACCGCAAACGAAACAGTGGCCCTATTGAGAGGCGAGTTCGGTGAACAGTTTATCTCACGTTTGGGGCCCGTCAATTGGCCGTCTAGATCGTGTGATTTAACGCCGTTGGACTATTTCTTGTGGGGCCATGTTAAGGCTAATGTCTACAGGCATAAACCAGCAACGATTGACGCACTGGAAGAAAATATTGAAGTATTTATTCGTGAGATACCGGCCGATATGTTGGAGAGAGTGTGCCAAAATTGGACCTTGCGCATGGGCCATCTAAAGCGGAGCCGCGGCCAACATTTACACGAAATAATCTTTAAACATTAAATTATATCGACCGTTCTATCGACTCAAATGAAGATTCAATCGTTTTTTCAAATTTTCTGTGTTTTTTATATACCTCTTAAAAATGACCCGTTACTAAAATATTAGTGATAAAAAGCCTTTATTTTTACCTGGCGAACAATTAGCAAATGCCAACCGGATAATAGGGGGGCCGGCAAAATGATCTCCCACATTTTAATCTTTAATAAAAACGCCATTCTAAGTTCTATTTAGATTTTACTTTTATTAACTGAAAATGTAGGCTATGCCATTTGCTTTTATAAATTTTTTAAAATTACAGTCCAAGAGGCGACCATTGTTCGATACACATTCGAAGCTGACTTCTGAAAGTCTCCATCACTCGAGCCGTAATTTGAGGCAATATTCCTGTGATTTCTTGGCGTATCGCTGCTTTCATTTCGCAATTGAGCAGGATCGGGTAAACGCGCAGGCCACTCAACGTCTCCACGTACGGAGATTACGCGTCCTGGAAACATTCCATTGTCCTTTTTGCCATATGAGCGGCAGCTCCATAATGTTGAAACCACACATCCGGATGTCCAGGTTCTCTAAGTTTTGCTTCTAAAAAATTGAATAGCATGTCGACATATCGATCGGCAGTTACCGTCACGCCTGCCCCTTCAAAAAATAGGGACCCCAAACGCCAAAAGATCCAACAGTACAACAAACGGTATCATGTGGGCTATGAAGTGACCTTTCATATAGGTGCCGTGGATTTTCTGCTGTCCAAAAGCGAAAATTCTGCTAGTTCACACACCCAGGCACGAAGTAAGTAGCAGAATTTGGTAATCACATATTCGATAACGAAGGATCGCCCGTCCAATTCATGACGTCAACTCGCCGTTGAAAATACGTAAAGGCGTATCTATTTTTTAACGATTTTTCAGGAAAGCGTTTTAAAGAAATATGCTATACTATTTCAAACGTAAGTAAAAAATCAGTACCCTTAGGGCCAATTTAACCATCGTTAATCAGTTTGGACCAATAGGAAAAGACCTTATTGAAATGCAATTTAACGGAAGCTGTCAAAGCTCTCTGAATATCAGTGATTTCTATTGAGATATTGAATAAAATCGTGAAAATTCAACTGTATTATAAGCAAGAACACTTTTTGATTCCAACATGATGCTTTTGTACAGAGAAAACAGGACAACTTTCATTTATTTTGATTTCTGTTATAAATTCACATTTAACGATCAGTTATCTCCAAAGCCAATGGGAATGCGGCAAATAGTAGGTCGATTTTCTAGCTGCTAAATTTAGCAGCAGGTTCGGACGTTTGTTAATGCATGGCAATCTCGAATTTGTTGAGTTCAATATACTGAGTGTTTATATGTTATCATTATAGCTACATACCTGCTGAATAGTGTGGATTTGTCTGTATTTTGCAAGAAAATAGAATATAAAATACATTCCAACCAATTCCTCATCTTCCTTTATATCATAATAGTAATCGTTCATTAATTTATGGGTTATTGAATTTCTACAAAGCAATAAAAACATTGTCCTCTCCATCCTAAAATACAGATAATATGTGTAAGACGTGTCAATCCATACATCTCCGTAATGCATAATGCAATTACTATGGACATAGATAAAAAATTATGAAAAATGTCTCACAAATAATGTCCAAAAATCATAAAAGCTAGTAATGTTTATTTTGCCTTTTTGATTGCCTTTTTGACTGGCGGGGATATCTATCTGTCACTCGGAAGGGTTGCCAAGTCTAAGGACGATTACGTCCTGTGGTGGAGGGTGCGAGATGAATCTTTTACATTTGGTGATTTTTAATTTAAAGTAGGAACGCAAACATAGTACTTATGATAGTTGGAGCTAGACTGATAACACTTCTTGAAGAATATTTGAAAAGTGTGATCACCATCATGGTCTGTTGTCAAATTGCAAATGAAGTATCCGAAAATTCATACGAGTACATACAGTGGACCTTCGTCATAGTTTACTATCCTGATTATGGTCATATTTGGCAGATGAGTTGTAACATCAAATAGATGAACCAATATAAGAAAGCTCTTATATACCTACCTACATTCAGCGGATTTTTCATGAATATTTACTAGGTATCATGATCATAACCATCTTTGGTAGGATGTTTGATCCGGAATGGGAAAGATCTCCTATTTATGAAAATATTTTTGGTATCATCTAAGCGTTGCAATCACTGTACAAAAACTGTGACATATGATTTATAGCATAACCCGCTGCCCTAGCAACACAAATTTAACATACAGGTCGCCTAGCCGTGGGATGCAGTGGTCGGGATGAATATCACGGCAGCCACTGATGACTTGGGCATGTCTGGTAACAACGTATGAAGTGAAACTCGCTAACTTCACAAATTTGAAGATTTTGTACAATTTCTTTGAAAATCATGAAGGTTGTGTCTGATTTGGCAAGGTAATGGCGCAGCCAAATGGCAGTCGGTCTTTCTGGACGCAGGCCAAGCAGATTGAAAATAACTTGTCACACAGTAGGCTTCCACCACTTACGTGTCAGGATGGAACGATTGTAACTGACTCGAAGGCCAAGGCTGAAGTGCTTGTCAAAGTTCTTTGCTGCTAGCTCCAGCATGGACGCCTCCCAGCAAAGCTTCTGGCCCGGACTTGATTGTACTGAAGAGGTGTGCAGCGGAGCTTGCTCCAGTTCTTTCGCGTTTCTTCCAGATATCTTATGAATCCAGAAAACTGTAAATTTGCTCATGTCCAACCCATCCCAAAAAAAGGATCTAAAACCGACCCTTACAACTACAACGTCTTCGCTTAATTAGCGACAGGTAGTATCGTTTCCGACATCAGCGATCCACAGGGGACCTCCCAGCTTACGTCACGCAATTGTGGAGTAAGCTAATCCAGTATTACGGTGGGGCTTATGTTGTTGGTCTTGATATCACGAAAGCATTCAATCAGCTGTTGCACGCTGCCCTCTTGTGCAAACTTCCATCTCATGACCTCCCAGAAAAGCTTTGCAGATGGGTGGCTGACTTTCTCTCTGGCCGCAAGGTATCCATCGTAATTGACGGGATCTCCTCTTCATCCCGCAAGGCCAACGCGGGTGTTCCCAAGGGATTGGCCTTGGCTTCGACACGGTTCTTCTTGCATATCAACGACCTCCTTTCCTGCACGGTCAACCCAATCCACAGCTTTGCTGTTGACATCACTCTATATGCAGGAATTCAGAGTGACACGCCGATCTCTACAGCTGAGCTGGAAAAAAGAAGACTAGCGACGACTTTCTCTCTGACGAGAGACCTGGAGGTTATCACTGCTTGAGGACGTAACAATCTTGTACAGTTTAATGCCTCCAAAATACAGTACTGTACTGACGAACAAAAAGCGTCAATAGCGGCAGCTGCTGGGAAAAAGCTAGGCTATTTGTTTAGGGCTAAGAAGTACTTTTCTCCGCATGAGCTTCTCACTCTATACAAGGCCCAGATAAGACATAGCCTCGAGTATTGGGGTGGTGCCGCCCCGACTACATTATTTATGCTGACTATACTATAGCTATCTAAAACTGTAATGACTCATCGATGTTCACGTGAACATCACTTAACTACCAGTAGTCGGCTGTTCATAGGCGGGGTATGAATGTTTAACATGGGTGAACTAGATTTGTCACATGCTTAATAAAGAGTGGTTTGAAACATATTGTAAGTCAAAAATTTGGGAATTACCTTTATTCATCGTCGCTTCCACTTACATCTGACAGTAATAAACTGTCGCTATCGCTTTCCTCGTTGAAATTGACTATAACTGGCTCTATGATGGTGTCGATGTGGTGGTCAAGCTGCCACATTTTTGTTTCTTCCTTCACAACATGACGGATAGCATTCTGCTAAGCTTCGGGCGTTACTAGCTGTATGGAAGTCTCAAGTAAAACCTTAACGTCTGGTAATTTGAAGGATGTGTTATGGCGCGCAATATAACCCTTCACTTGAGCCCAGATGAGCTCTATTGGGTTCAGTTCACAGTGGTAGGGCGGTAACCGCAGCACAGTGACGCCACATTGACGGGCCATCTCATCAGTCACGTAACTAATGTTCGCAGGTTTGTGCTGTTTAATTTTTTCATACAATTCCGCTTTCACACATGAATCGTCAAACGGGATTCCTTTTTCGTGCAACCATTGCTGCATGTCACTTTTTCGAGATCCCATAGTCGGTACACGTTCGGCTCGACGACTATGGTAGGAAGCATTATCCATGACGATCACAAAGTTGGGCTCAACTCGCTGAAGCAGCCCTTGAAACCAGCTCTCGAAGCAGCTGGCATTCATTTCGTCATGGTAATCACCTCCTTTCTTAGAGACGAAAATCAAGTCACACTCTTCTAAAAAGCCACTATCGCTACCAATATGAGTTACGATCAATCTTTGACCTTTCCCTGACGGTCCACGAAGACCTGTTGACAAACCTTCAATGCTTGCTTGTCGGTTACTCGCTACGTTTTTGTCTATCCAGGTTTTTTTAACTGTGTGACCTGCATTTACCCATGTCTCGTCCAAATAATAGATGTTTCTGCTTTGTCGCCTATATTCAATCATTTAGCGTAGGTATTTTCTACGCCAGGTGACTATTTCAGGTCTCTCTATCAACACTGACTTCCGATTACGCGTTTCGTAACGAAAATTAATTTCGTGCAGGGATTTCCTCATTACCTCGACGCTCATTTGGGTTATAATTTCATTTTCCTTGATCGCTGCATGTACAGCCTTGAGGGTTGGTATCTCATTCCTAAAGAAGAATGAATGTACGGTTCGCCTTAACGCCATTTTGCTATCGTCATCCAATTTAACGGCCTTTCGTCCCTTCAAATTAAACTTTGGATCAGTAGTTGCTCCAGTTTTCTTCTTTTCATGCACCACCCTGCGAATGGTCCACTCTGGAACGCCTGTCATACTTTCACAACGCGCGAGTGCATCTCCCTGCGACATAGTTCTGTTCAGATAATTGAACACGTTGAGCACGATTTCTGTCGCGTCCCTCTTCAGTGCTTTACGAAGCCGTCTACTTGTTCCCTGGCTTTCAGTACTTCCACTCGTGCCATTTGTACTCTCCATGGTTAAGTATAACCAAAACAGTAACCACAGAAACCACAACAATAACAATCACACAACAATTCTTATAAAAACACACAATATGCGATCGCTCAACGAAACACGTTCCAATGCGTTGCCGACGCCTATGAGTCTGCCGGTCGAGGCGCGTCTTTGATTTCATTGGTTCTACCGCGGAGAACAATCAGTCATTATTTCCATCTCTGTATGAGCTGTTGTCCACCGCAAAGCCACAGAAACGACATATGTCGTACGCTATACGGCTGTACTGGAAGGAAGCCGGGATCGACCTCTGATCACGTGTTGATCACGCGTATGAGTCACTAGAGTTTTAAATAGTTGTAGTATAGAGGTGGACTGTTCGACTGATCGATGACTCTTCTCTAACAGATAGTCTCGGGACCCTTGCACACCGGCGGGCCGTCGGTGATCTAGGTCTCTTCTCCCGTTACACCAAAGGGCTTTGCTCCTCAGACCCACCTGGCTTTGGACTCCCATCCTAACCGTGTCGAATTTCGTACACCCAGAACTGGCCGATACGACCGCTCCTTTGTCGAGGATGTCGAGATTGTGGAACAATCTACAAGAGGAAGCTCTTTCCAGTACTACTAACTGTACTCAGTTCAAAAATCGTAATCAAAATTTCTTTATATATAAATATATATACAGGGTGTCCGCAAAGTTGGGGTTTTCCTTTT